TACAGATCCACCTTCTGGGGCACACAGGCAGGTGGAGAAGGGTAGGGAACATCCCCGAAGGGCAGATGGAAGGTACCCTGCACAGTGTCTAACAACGGGAGAACAGTTGAAGCAACAGCCAACACACCAGCCCTGTGATATAGCCACGTAACAGAATACTATGCCTCTCAGAATTCAGATCTGTTTTGTTTTGTTTTTTTTTTTTTCAACGTTTATTTATTTTTGGGACAGAGAGAGACAGAGCATGAACGGGGGAGGGGCAGAGTGAGAGGGAGACACAGAATCGGAAACAGGCTCCAGGCTCCGAGCCATCAGCCCAGAGCCTGACGCGGGGCTCGAACTCACGGACCGTGAGATCGTGACCTGGCTGAAATCGGACGCTTAACCGACTGCGCCACCCAGGCGCCCCCAGAATTCAGATCTGAATCTGGATCTTACAGACACTGCCATGGTAAGATACCCACAAAATGCAGTAATTAGGTAAAAAAAACAAATTATAAATCAGTAAATATATTAAGACCCCAAATCTGGATATACATCAAATGTTAACAGAGGTTAACAACATGTAGAGAGATGTAGGTGATTTTCCCATTCCTGACCTATATTTTAAATGTTTTGTTTATGTATAGCTTTTCAGTTAAACTTTTATTACACCCCTATTCTATCGGGCATCGTTAAGATAACAACGAGAGCTTTGACTTTTAACTGGTAAATGGAGAAAGTATCTACTGAAGCTTGGATTTAGATCTCCTCTGAGGCTGAGCTCTTTTAAAAAGCAAACTCTATTATTTTTCGTTACTGAAAATCTAACCGAAAATAGGGAGAATGCTAGTGTCATGATGAACACCATCTCAGGGGTCTACCTTAACCAGGCTAACTTTTGGAAGTCCTCTTGTTCTGGGTAATCAGCAAGGGCTGTACTAGGCACCTGTAAGGAGCAGTCTGTATCTGGAAAAAGTGACTCTCAATCTATCAGCTGTACAGGTTTCCCAGCTATGGAACATCAGCCCCAATAACCAACCAACCAGCCACTGCTGGCCATTATGTAAAAGAATACATTTGAAAAATAAATAGTAGAGAGGGCTGCCGATTTCTCCCCCACTTCTCTTCTCTTCTCTCAGGGAGTTGGCAGAAAGGCTCATTAACTTCTTAAAGAACAATGGGGGGCTACAGCCCTACTTTTCCAGGCTGGGCCGACTCTTCTGTCTCTGGGGTGGGCCAGAGTCACGCAGCAGGTCACGGGGTGAGGGGCTTGAACTCCACTGCTTCCTGGTCACTCTGCCAGCACCAGACAACCCCCCCCCCCCCAAAAAAAAAGTTCTGCTTTTCTTAAGTTCTGAAGACACTCTGGGCCTCAGTTCCCATTCTCCAAAGCTTTAAGCACAATAATAATACAAATATCTACCATTCGCTCAATATTTTATGCATCTAGAAACTGTGCTAGGCACTTACACATCTAACCGGTAAAAACGCCTCTGAAACACAGATTTGACTGCCTCTGTTTCACAAATACCGGTAACAACACTGAGGATTCCTGAGGCCACTCATGCAACAAGGTGGAGTTGATGGTGGAGTGGGGGCTCAAAGCTGGGTCTGCTGGCTCTGGAGCCTGAGCCCTGTGTATTACCCTGCACCGCCTTCTAGAAGCAGCCTGGCAGACTCGCCCACAACCCCATCTGTGCTGGGATCACCGCCGCCTGGGCCCCACAGCGAGCTGAGTTGGACCCACACTCCTTCAGAACAGCTTTCCCCACCTCCCGGGGATCTAATGTGCTAAAATCAAGCACAAGATACGGTAAAGCAGCCTTCAGGCACTGGTCAGGGGTAGAGTGGGGAGCAGTCATTAACTAATGCCCTGTTCCAGGAAAGTCTGCCAAAGCCCTGTGTGTAGGGCCAACCACTGGGGGAAACACTTCTGAAGTTTCTCTTTAGCTAGAGATATCCACAAAAACCAAGTATAATATGACTCAAAAACAATGATGAAGGATTTCACATGAAGGGCCCTGTTAATATTCACTCGTGATCTTCTGAATTCTTTCCAGTGAGACCTCAGTTGCCTTAGTTTTTCAAATTTGAAGTGTAACGCTGCTTCTGGTGGTTCAGTCACATCACGGACTAGCCCAGGACACCTAGACCCCAAACGGTCCCTGGGTTCACTGCACCTACTACGTGCAATCTCTACCTGCAACGGAAATGTTAGCATATGAACCTCCTCTCACTAAGGTGCCAAGAGACAACTAGTGTGTTACCCCGAAGGGCCAACTTCAATTAAAAGCTAGGCTGTGCTTCAGTGATTTCATGTCTCTTCTCCAGGAGGAAATGGTGGAGCTCGTAGGACTGCCTGGCAATGCCGCGTGGTAACAGAGCACGGATATCCTGTGGCGAATCACCCAGCATGATCTACCTCTTGGCTGGAAGAGGTATGCTCAGAGAGGAGGCCAAAAAGAAGAGGTAATTGGTTAGACTGGTAAAGCTGTCTTCCAGCCCATTTGAAGGATTCTGAGACATTGCCTTCATTTCAAATCAAAATACTCACTTTTCAGCCTCATGTTCAGGCCCCTCCCACTATCTGGTCCCAATCTCACTCCCTCATTTCTTTTTCTTTTTTTTTCTAAGATTTAATTTTTTTTACTTTGTTAAAAAAAATTTTTTTTAACATTCATTTATTTTTGAGAGACTTAGTGCAAGTGGGGGAGGGGCAGAGAGAGAAGGAGACACAGAATCTGAAGCAGGCTCTAGGCTCCGAGCTGTCAGCACAGAGCCCCATGCAGGGCTCGAACTCACAGACCGCGAGATCATGACCTGAGCTGAAATTGGACGCTCAACCCACTGAGCCACTCAGGAGCCCCATAAGGTTTTATTTTTTAAGTAATCTCTATACCCAACGTGGGGCTTGAACCCACCACCCCGAGATCAAGAGCCTCATGCATTTCTGGATGATCCAGCCAGGTGCCCCTCTACCCTTATTTCTTATGCTCCCCTGTACAAATTCTACACCCTGTAGAAACGAAATGACCTAAGCTTTCCCAGCTCTACACCTTTGCTCATGCTATTCTCTTCTCCAAGGCCCCTTTCTTCATTCTTCTAGCTTCAACCTGGTTTTCACCAAAACACTTGGCTCTTTAATTCCACTCCCCTTCTACCCTTTCTCACCTCTTGTCTCCACCCTCCCCACCTCCACTGATATTTATTCTCCATGGGCCCCTCCTGCCATTTCAGAGCACACTGGATTTACCTTTTTTCTTTTTATAAATTAAAAAAAATTTTTTTTAATGTTTATTTATTTTTGAGAGAGAGAGAGACAGAGCACAAGCCAGGGAGGGGCAGAGAGAGAGAGAGGGAGACACAGAATCTGAAGTAGGCTCCAGGCTCCAGGCTCCAAGCTGTCAGCACAGAGCCCAGCTTGGGGCTCGAACTCATGAACTGCGAGATCATGACCTGAGCAGAAGTCAGCCACTTAACTGACTGAGCCACCCAGGCGCCCCTTTTATAATTTTTTAAAAATGTTTATTTTATTTTTTGAGAGACAGAGAGTGAGCGGGGGGAGGGGCAGAAAGAGAGGGAGACACAGAATCAGAAGCAGCTCCAGGCTCCGAGCTGTCAGCACAGAGCCCAACAAGGGGCTCGAACCCACAAACCGTGAGATCATGACTTGAGCCGATGTCAAACGCTTAACCAACCGAGCCACCCAGGCGCCCTGGACTTATCTTACTCTTAAACTGCCTAACCCTATACTTGATTGTAAATGAGTAAAAGACAAAGGCAGAGCACACATTCCTACAAACACACAAACTCTGTGTGTCATCTCCCATGGGCCAGGGAGCTCTCTCACTCAAACTGATTTTCCTCAAGAGGCCTAGAGTCTAGTACGGGCTCACCAAATCTTGGTTTATGAACCAGTGAAAACTTTCTACTGCACAGGATACCTCAGCCCGACTACCCCAAACCTCATCTTATCTGGAGAGAAGAGTGCAGTAGGAATTGCCTCTGCCCTGTTCCCACACAGGGAATGGGATTCACTCTGGTTTACATAACTTTGCAGCTGCAACGTGAACAGACTTGGGTAGGGCATTTAGTGTACAGATTGCTCAAATGGATGTGTCAGCTGCACTGTTCCCCTCCTCTCAGAGAGCTAAATTCATCTCTTGAACATGTTCCTGGGAGACAGAGCCAGTCCCCTTCAAAGGCAGCTTCCTCTCAGCAAGAAGCCTGCAAGGGTAGCACTTTCACATTCTCTGGGTGTTTACCAATCTTTGAGAAACACATTCTTCTGCCCCGTAAGATATGTCACAGGTCACCGAAAAATACTCGGGTACATATTTCTAGCTACTCTATAACAATGGTTACCAGAAAGGAACCTGGTCCTCAGACTCCAAATGTTTTCTCCTCACTAATCTCTCTTTGTTTTTGGAACCACCTAGCCCTCTTGCCTCATCAACCCGGGAATGTGGGACGGGCAGAATGCTTCTGCTGGGAGAGGCGTTTGGTCTGCAGGGGAAAGCAGTAAGAATAATCACAGAGGAGCGGAGAACAGAAAAGCCCCACTCTGGTCCCCTTTCAGCAGGGTCTCCCAATGCCCACCCCCTCATCCCCTCCTGGCTAACCCTGGATCTTCACTCTTCTTCCCGAAGACTCACACAAAGTTCTCTAGCTGTTCTTAAGCATCTTTAGGGTGAGCACGACTCCCTCAGTGGTGGCTGATGGGATCCAAATATTTCCAAACAGCATGTCATTTCTAGGAACTGCCTCTCCCTCGGACCTACTCTGCCTGGGGCCTCCACCCTCCAGTTTACCCGTGAATGGACCTTTCCTTTGCCATCTGGGCAAGAAGATCCCCTGCCCTGGCAACGTGGGGCCTGCCTCCTCACAGCTGCCAGAAACACTCTGGTCGTAGCGCGAAGGAACCAGGGCAATCCTGGCCCATACGTCCTGGTCCCGGGAGTCGGCGCACAGGGGAGCCGTGGTGGGCTGTGGCTCCCTGTGACGTCACATGGCCTTACCTCATCCCACTCCGAGGCGAAGGAGGGCGACTTCTCCAGCCTCTTCTTCCCGATGCTGCAGTTGGACAAGGACTCGCTCCGGCTCCCCATTGTAGCGTCCTCCGTGGGTGAGCAGGTCAGGAGATCAGAGTCAGACTTGGACAAGCTGCGGCTGAGTTTGAGTTCAGCTTTGGGTTTGCTGGTGGGAGGGGCTCGGCTTCTAGCCCCACTCCGGTCTCTTTCTTCCTCGGCACCACCAGGGTGTTGAGATGCCGTGTGAGTCAAAGTTTCGGGGTGCGATTGGCTGTTGGTGGTGGGCAGGCCAGCTGGGTAACCCACTCTCTTACTCTGGTCCAGGACACTGGGCGGGGAGGCTCCAGGAGCGTGCACACCCGTCTCCTCCAGCTGCATGCTGGCCTCGTGACAGGCGCCCTGTGCGGGGGACCCTTCTGGATGGCTCTGGCCAGTGGCAGAGAGCAGCTGGAAAGGGTCCTGCCCCACCTCACACACCGGGGAGGAGCCGTGGAGGAGACCTGAGAACTGCTCTGGGACCTGCCCGTCCTGCCCCTCCGCAGAGTCCTGGCTCCGGCTGCTGCTGCTCCGCCTGTGGTCTTGGAGTGGACGGAGAGACAGAGAAATAAAAAATTAAACGTGGCAAAAATCAACAAAGTTCCAATGCAGCGAGCGTACGGCAGAGCTGAGGAATTCAAAAACAGGGAAAGAGGGAAGCTGGATGGGCTGGAGAGAGGACAGAGGGAGAGAAGAAGAGAGGGGAAGGAAGAAAACAGTTTCGTATTGTTCTTAATGTTCAATTTGTACCCAAAGTCGGAGCATTTATGAAATTCCAAACACTGGCCTGATTAATGCTATCTGGCAGCCCTCCCTGTTGCTAGGTCTCTGTTAACATTAACGACCAGACCTTGCTATATAAGGCTAACAGTGCTGACTATATCCTACAGAAAGGACACGAGTAAGGGACAGAGAGCAAACACGGAGTAAAAGTGAGAAAGAAAGAGAGAGAGAGTGCCAGCGAGCAGGCGAGACTCACTCCTGGAACATCTGATACATTTCCATAAAGGCCAAAGTGTTATTTAGAGCCGCCCGCCCTCCCTTCCTCTGGCAAGCAGCAACAGAGGGGGAAAAAAAACGGAGGTCATGATCTACAACCTGCAACTTCTGGAATTCTTTAAGGGAACATGCAAAACAAAACAGCAGAGAAGTAACTGCTTCCTTCCTCACAGGGGGCTGTTCAGGGTTCCACGCCTCATCCTTCCTTCCTCAGGGAGCAGAGACTTTTCTGTTCTTTTTTTTTTTTTTTTTTTTTTTTTTTTTTTTTTTTTGAGAATGTGCACATCTCACTCCTTCCAAAGCCTCCCAGCTGCTCCTATTTGTTTAAGTTTAACCTCAGTTGATCCACTGAAAACAAAACGGTCTAATTTGTCAATGCCAAGAGATATTTGCAGCTCTCTCAAGACCTCCCCAACATCCCCAAAATCTGACACTACTAGCTCAGGAGGCCAACTACTACTGTATACTCACCCAAGATATCAAATGCCTCTGCCCTGAAGTGGCATAAATAATTGACCAAATCAGAGTCCCACGCCAGGATCACACTGGGACACCCAAGGGGCTCGCCCTGTGTGAACTCTCACCCGTTAGGGATTTTCACCCACATCAGCAGCCCTGTGCCCAGTACTAGCTCACATTCCTAAGCTAATATTCAACGTTATCTGCTCCGTAAGTGGAATCTACGGCACAGATACCAAATGATTCCGTAGTCTGCCCAAAGCTCCCAAGTACTGTTCGTGAGATCAGAGAATCTTAGAACTTGAAGGGGCAAGGTCAAATATTTTTACAGATGAGAAATCCAAGGCCCTCGGGCCTTTGGTGGTTTTGTCCAAGGTGGTGGGGGAGAAGACTTTAACCTAGGCTTTTCTGATCACCTGGCTCTGGTTCTGGCTATGCTGTTCTCTAGCTGTGTGGCCTTGGCACTGATCTCATCCTGCTGGGCTTCAGTATCTAAAATAAGTAGGATGGACTGCCTGGTCCTTAAAAATCCTTTTTATTATGCAACAACGGTGATGACAATCCAAGTCTCCACCATGCTCTGATGGCAAACTTCTCCTCCTCAGGGGCTGCTGCAGATCCCTGCCTGGGTGCCTCTCCTGCTACTGCCTACATAGCACCCACGCTCCTTCACCCGCCTGCCTGTAGCCCAAGGCCCCTTCTTGAAGCTCAGTTCCACAACTGAACAGGGTCATCAGGTGAGGAGGGGAGTTTATAAACATGATGCACTAAAACAGAGTCTTCACCGGCAATGCCAAGTGTCCCACAATGCTGGCTCTTCCAACGCGGCCTTTAAGGAGGGGTCCCAACAACCAGTTCTCATAATGAGCCCATTGCCCTGAGGTCTGAGTGGGGACATGGTTCCATTCACCCCACTTTCTCCAGAAGAATGGTTCAGTCTCCACAGTCTGTTCAGCTTTTGGCAAGCCTGCAGAAGCTTCAAGGGGGCAGCCAATTAGTTCCACTTTATGGCTCCGATTACTTATCCACAGGAGCCCAGACGTATGAACTTTGGCATCTCCTTCCTCTACACTTGACTGCTTCAGGATTTTCACACCCCTAACTCACAAACTCTATATCCCAAAGGTCAGGTCCAGAGCACTGAACAACTTGAATCTTTTCTCTAGGGAAGAAGAAATGCTGCATATGTAAGAGTTCCATCCAGCTTAACTTAGCCCCAGGAAGCCATGACTTTAGGGCTATGAATTCCACATATGACAACTGGAAGCATAACAAGGCTGCCCCGTAGTGTTGTGCAGTGGGGCCAGAGAAGACGACACGCAACCACCTTATGGGGGTTCAAACCAACAGCACTTCCTAGAAGAGGCCGATGGGGAGAGTCAAAATTGCTACCTCTGGGACCCTACCTTAGTGGCCAATTTCCTACAGATTCCGGCCCAAGGTGCAATGTTCCTCTGACTGCATTTGAATACAAAAGAGGACTTTGGTAACAGGAACACAGGCTTCTATTCCTTTGTATCAGCATCTAGCTCCTTATTTAACAATATTTTGGGGAGGGAGGGGAGTTCAATGACAAAGGAAAACCAGAGTCCAGAACGGGGAGTTAGCCTGGCTCACACTGCCTGGGTGGACCTCAGAACCCAGGCTGCAGAGAATGTTCTGTCGCTGTGGGAGCTGACAATGAAGGCTCTGTCTAATAGCCACCCATTCATGCTAGCCATCAATGAAGAAAGAGAGACAGATGCCAAGAGCTCAATACCAGACAGATGCCGGGGGAAGGAAGTGGGCAGAAAGAAGGAATGGAAACTTATGGAAGGAGGAAATATGTGAAGAGGAAGAATTTCTGAGGGTCATAATCCCATTAGAGAAAATACAATCTACCAATACTTTATGGGGTGTAAGAAATCACAGAAAGGGATTCTTATAATTACATGACTTACCCAGGCAATTCCCTAGGAAAGACACCTTGGTATTTGAAAAGCTTGTCAAGATCTAAGACCTTCAGGATCTTAATAAGCCCCATAAAAAACTATATCCAAGGATAAGCTAGATTTCCTGGCAAAATCAACAGGTAGGAAAAGAACTACTCAGAGGTCCTTTCCTTCTGTAAAGTCAGGATAATATTGGGTCTCTTAGGGCATTAATATAATGTGTTAATATAATGTTAATATAAGGCACTGATCATGAGCCAGAGAGTGAGCAAATTACTTAACTTCTTTGTGCCCAGTATTCTCACCTATAATTTTGGAATCATAATAGTACGTACTTCCTAGGACTGTTGTGAGAATTATACATGTAAAGCACCCAGCACCACATTTGGCACATGCCAGCCCTCAATAGATATTAACAATTCTTATTATTCTCCGCACAGGATCCATTACAACATATTTTGCTCACAGATGAGACCAATAACTTGTCTGTTCCTCGTAGGTTTGTGCAAAAGCTCACCAAAGACAGCGTACGTGACACATACAAACATCCGTTGCCTTCATCATCCTTACAACTCTCGACAGCAGAAGGAAGGGACAGAAGGTAACAGAGCAAGAAGGGCTGAAGTCAGATACAGGCCCCAGAACTGTGGCTGTAACCACCCATTCCATCAATAAGCACATGCAAAATGTTTGTCTTCATGGGCCACCCAAGAGATAAAAAAGATGAAGACACTGAGTGTGCTCAACGGGCTTACCAGCTACCCAAAGAAACTAGCATATGCACAAGTGACTAGAATTCCAGACGAAAATTAATAGATGCATAAACCAAATGCACAGTGAGCAGAAAGGAAAGTGTGATTGCTTTCAGCCAGAAGGATTCTCAGAAGATGTAGCTTTTGAGCAGGGCGTTGAAGGAGAAATAAGGTCTTGATAGGCTTAAAGTTTAGTGGAAATACATTAGAAAAAGCAGAGACAGGAACCTCGGTGCCTGGGCACTCACAGACTTTCAGACTCGCAGAAGAGAATCCTCAGGCCTTAGGCTTTCCCTGACTGGGAATCACTGCGCTCCCACCTTAGAACTATGCAGCTTCTGGGGCGCCTGGGCTCCAACTCGATTTCAGCACAGGTCATGATCTCACGGTCATGAGATCGAGCCCTGTGTGGGGCTCCACGCTGGGCGTGGAGCTTGCTTAACATTCTCTTCCTCTCTTTCTGCCCCTCCCTGGCTCGTTCCCGCGTGTGTGTGTGTGAGCGCATGCGTGCACTCTCTCAAAAAACAAACAAAACAAAAAAACTACACAGCTTCCACTCCTCCTCCCATACTGCCTTCAGCCATCCCTACAACCTGCCCTTCTAGGAGAGAAACAAGGGGCTAGGACACAGGGACAGCTGCTTCCTTACTCTCCCCATATATCAAGGCCATCTGCTCTATTGAGTAGCACACAGCAGCATGCTAATTCCCAGCCCCTTCAACTTTCAATCTTTATTCATTCTGGGTGTTCATTTTCCTTTTACCCTGTGAGCCGCTGAAGCAAGGGGTCTTCTGTGCTGCATTTTAATTACTATGATGATCCACGGGGGATCTCAAGGGCTTTTGAACAATAACATTTTAACATTTACACATTTTTCAATCACCCCCCTCCCACCCCCGTCTGTTTAAATTAGGGCAAAAAAATGCAGCGTGTGTGAGAACTTGCTAAGTCAAATCAACCCTCCAACACAGAGAAGAAGGTTACTCTGGCTACCCAGACTGTTGTGCCTTCTTCGTTTCCGTTAGGATTGGAACCCTCCAATTGCCCAGTGGCTATGGTGAGCACCAGGAACTGGGTGTGCCCAGGAGAACTCCTAAGTCCTTGGCTACTTTTGGAGAGCCACCGTGTTTTCCTCAGAAGGAAGGTGCCGACTAGGTTATGCAGGGACTTGCTGGCAACTATGATCTGATAAGACAAGTAGACCTAGCATCCATTCTCTGGTCCACGGCAATCAGAGAAACAGAAAGAGACCTGGACTGGGATTCAGGAGGTCCAAGTTATAGTCCCTCCCTGGGTCTTTTTTTAAAAAATGAATGGCCGTAAATGCATTGTCTAGGGCTTTGACATTTAGTATGATTTGACACTGATTAGATGAATTAAGTGCCCTTCTAGTTCTATGAT